TGTATTTGGCTGCTAAGACTGGCTCCGAGCTCGTTATTGCCGCGCTCTTTGGCTGCGGTAAAGTTGCAAACATTGCGCAAAACCTCCCTCCCTCCAGCTGTTCCTGTAAGGCCTCCGGCTGCAGGCCGTTCCCCCCGCCTGCCCCTCTCTGCAGAGGATCGGCTCCCCTGTTTGTTTAAACCCTGCACTCTTCCCTTCCGCTCCACGTGATGCCTTGGGCCAAACATCGTCTTAAATCACCCCTGGGCCGGCGCTGACTCCGCAGCGCTGGTTGCAACTCCTCCAACATGATTGTCAGCTTGACGGTCTGGGCGCTCGCGATGCTCCCCTTGGGGTTCTGCTGGCCGTCGGCTTTCCAAGAGGTGAGTTTGACCTCCAGAAAACGCAGTTTCCAGGAAGCCTTTTTTATTTCTAGGAAAAAAAAAAAAAAAAAAAAGAAGAGACAACACAACGTGTTCTAAGCCAAAATCCATCAAACCTCGCTAATCAAGAAGATAAAGCTGTTTCCTCTGGGTGGCTGTTGTGCAGCCCATGCTTAGTGCAAAATAAAGCCATGAGAACTTGGCATCGGTACTTGTTGAGTCGTTCGCTGGCGTTCCTTCCAGGTTAGGTTCAGTTAAGCGATAGTCCTGTATCCATTTGTTTTTCTTAAAAAAAATGTAAAGCTATTCTTCTTCTTGCAGAAATTTCTCGGCGCTTTGGATGCGGAAGATGTTTTCTCTTATTTTGGAACCAGCTCAGTGTCTGATGGTATGCAGGGCTCCTTCCTTCTTGATTTTGGAACACGTCTGTCAGTTTATTTCTAATCCTGTACGTTTGATAATGCTAAGAACGCTTATTAACGAACCCTGATCTGACAAGCATTTAGCATTTCTGAGTCACATTACTCAGTGAGGCAATCCATGTTTCAGTGTGAAAGCGGTTGAAGCGCTGGGTCAGTATTTAAAATCTGCTGAAGGAGAGATGATAAATCTTTTTGCACATTTCTCCTGCGGTCCTCGTTCTCTGTATGGGTATTTTTCTATGAGATTAACAGATCCAGGTCTTCTGAGTGTGAAGCTTTAGACTAAGAATAGCTTTAAAAGCACTTGATAATTTTTTTTTAAATAAACACCTGGAGAGACTAGTATTCTGGGTCTGGATTGATCGTAGTTCAGAATAAAGATATGTTTTAAACTCTCAAATCCTTAAAGCAAGGATGTTGCCTACTTGTGAGTTCACCTAGTGCTCATCCCAGCGTCTGTCTGGATTATGATAATTCTCACTCAGTAATACTTAACATCCGAGGAAGTAAAACTGTCTCAGCCTTTGTTAAATGAACTGTTCTCCTTATTAAAGAGGAAAAGCGCCGATAAATCAGGAGCCAGTTTCAGAGCTGTTGTCTGCTCCCAGTCAGATTATCCTCACTTTGGAATACATGAAAGCATAGAAGTTCTTTGACTGTTGACACAATGACCCCGAAAGGCCACAGTTGTCGTTTGGAGAGTATTTTTTCCTGGGGAGATGGATCATTACATTTGTTTTCTGTGTATCATCGTTTCTCATAACTGTTCCCCTTGTTCTGGTCTTGTTTCATTTCTTTCAGTACCTGAGTTTGTTGTTGCTGAGCCAACCTGCCCTTGTAAAGAAGAACAGATTGGGCTGATGCCCTGTCGTATTCAACACTGCTCCATTGAGGCCTGGGGAGAACTCTATGCCTTTGAATTTCTAGAGGACCATGCCCTCCTTTCCTCTTCCTTTGTGAGCAATCAAGTGGTGAACTCTACCTTTAGCTTACTGAAGCGATTCTCAGGCAACTGCTTTGCAGGTGGAAATCCACTGCAACCTCCCGGGGCGAAGTGTCGAGTCACTTACTGTGAAGGGCAGCTGGTAAGTATGCACTGAATTTATTCTTGCAAGCGTTTACAGCCCTTGTAGGTTTGCAGCTTGATGCACCAAATGTGTGAACCATCCATTTAATAAATCTGAGCATTACAAAGGAGAAACAGGAAGGATATGGCACACAGTTCTTCATTGATAGCAAATGTCTTTGGAATAACTCAGAGATGGAATTTCATCTCCTTTAGCAAGGAGTCGTCATTGCAGATGAGGAAAAGATTCATATCAGGCCTGTCAGAAGCAAAGACATGGCCCTGCTGAAGGACCTTGGCTTCTCCAGACCCCACATTCTCTTCAGAACTGCCGCAAGAGGGGAAAATACAGCAAGAGGTAACGTACATGGAGAGGAAGCCCTGCTGGTTCTGCTTGGAAAAGCTGTCTCCTGGTAGTGGGGTTGCTTGCATGAGATCAGAGGAAAAATCTGTATTTACAAATATATGAGTATACTTGATAGACGTTTCTCACCTCACTGAGGTGTAACTGGTGTGTTTTCATTTAGGTATTTGTTATTTTGATAGCATAAGCATGTTATTAAGGATGCTGGCAAGTGAAAGAAACCAACAGAAGCGGGAAACCTGAGCAAGCAACTGGAGGAGTGGTCTTCCAGCTGGATTATTCTAGTCTTTCAGGAAAAAGGAGGGGATCTGTAGGACCTTTTATGTTGTCTTGCATTTTAAACTCCCTGTGTCCCTTTGTGCTGTTCGGCAGGGCGGTTTCCTTCTCGCCTGCAGAAGAGGGCTGAGGGAGCTGTCAAACATCTGGAGCTGATGGTCGTAGCAGGTCCAGACGTTTACTTGTACCACAAAGAGGACACGGAGCGATATATTCTTGCCAACCTGAACATTGTGAGTAGCTTTCTGTTTGGATTGCTGTCCCAGTGTGAGAGCTCGCAGTGTCACAGGCTGTGTCACAGGCAGACGGACCTCTGCGAGTGCACTTTCAGAGGTGTTTGTGGTTACCTGCTCCTAGTACAGAGCACTGCTTATGTGCAGGGTGTTCCTCTCTGCTTCCCTTGGCACCACATGGCAAGCTTCCCCTTGTACAAGGAGCTGCACAAGGAAAAGTGGATGTTAGAAGCTTTGGGGCTGTAGCCTTAAAGCCCATGTAGAAAATGTAGCTCTTTGTTTCATTACTAATATTGTTGTATGTCAGATACAGTAGCAGGAGTTTTATCACCAGAGCCTTGATCCGGTCCCTGTTGCTTTCAGTAAGATTGAACAAGATCCACTGAATTAATCTTATATTTTACATTTCAATGTTTTATTTCTATTACAGGATTTCTCTAAATGTCTCCCTTTGCTATTATTAAGAATTTGTTTATGCATTTTCTGTGCGTGTATATTGCAAAAAAGTCTTTAGCATTCACTCTCCTACCCTGTGAAACTGTGTTCCTTGCAGATTTTTTCTTTCTGCTTCAGAGTATCTGACAAGTTTAACAACAGTTCTCACCCGTTGACAGATTTATTTACATTTGTAGTGCATGCTTTAATGTACTTCCCGGTGACTTTATAGTTGCCCCTTATGGTTACCAGGTATGTTACCTTTGTAGTGAATGCAGCCCTGTTATTTGGAACAGGTAGTGGGAGTCACCGAGGTGCCTTCTTTATCGAATCCTTTCTATCTCTTAACAGGGGGCAGAGCTGCTGAGAGATGCCTCACTGGGTGCTCATTTCAGGGTTCATCTTATGCAAATGCTTGTTTTGAGAGAACCAGAGGTAAGCAGGGAGGACTATGTTCAAGTGTTGTCCAAGGGGTTGCTAAAAGCTGTATGAAATGTGCAAACATGTGCCTTCGCTCTAGGCAGAGGTAAACATCACAACAAATATCACCTCCTCGCTGATCAGCGTTTGTGAGTGGAGCAAGAAGGTCAACCCCCAGAATGACTCTGACCCCCAGCATGCTGACATTGTCCTCTACGTCACCAGGTACTGAAGCTCCCCTGCCTTGGGAGGGGACTGGAAACAGGGCTGACAGTGTCCAGCTGTTAGCGCAGTGACAGTGATTTGCGCTGGGTCTTTCAGCAGTTGGGCATCACAGAGTCTTTGGAAACAGGTTGATTCTCCTGTCGGGGGTTGATTCTCCTGCCCTTAGTGTAACGCAGTTAGTCAGAGGTGCTGTTTCTTCAGTTTCTGAAGGAACTGGAATATTTCCCAAGCACTGACCAGCCAGACCTGAGCAAACATTGTGTGCTTCCAGAGCCGCACAGGAAAACCCACTGCAGCTTTTTGTGGGCAGAAAAGTTGAACAGTAACTGGAAGTGAAAACCCACTGGTGTTTTTTGTGGAAGATTTCTAGTGCTACTCTGACTCAGACATTTTGTCTGACTTTCAGGCTCCTTGCTCTAAATTGCCTTGGCTAAATTTGTCGAAGGCAAACTTTTCTTGAGTGTAATGGCTTTGTTTTGGCGCTCTTTCTTCAAAGAGATGATGATACTGCTCTGTCTTTTGCAAATAGGATTAGGTCATTTTATTCTGTTCTGCTTGCCTGGGGTCATGGGGATTTTTTAATGTAGAATCACCACAAATTTTCAACAGTGGGCATTCGTGGGACCCTACTGCTACCACCTTGCCCCAGGGAGCTCCATGTGTCAAAAGAAATGTTAGGTAGCTGGCAAAGTTACATCAGGAAGGTGCCAGTAAATTCAGTTGAATGTCTAGACCTGACTTTATTAGCTGCAGTGGTTCTTTGCTCTTTCCTCTGTATCTGTCTCCCTTACTTTAGGTTTGACTTGGAGTTACCTGATGGGAACAAGGAGCTACGCGGAGTGACTCAGTT